TTTTTTTTTTTTTTTTTTTTTTTTTCATTAGCTTCACTTAAACATTCGTAATTACGAATTTCGCAAACTAAACCTTGTTCAATAGGAAAAATAAATTAGGATCTCTCGTTGAGACAAAAAAAAACGTAGATGCATCGATAAGTGGGAAGAAAGCCGAATAGAATATAATGCAAGTTTCACCGTAGATCATACCAAAAAATTCAAAATTCGCCAAACGCCGGGACGTCAGGTCACACACAATGTGTCAATGGAACTTATTCGGAAAATAGTAACAATTAAAATGAGTTTGTTCTTAGTAAAATTGTACACGTAACTAATGCATAATTCTTAAACATTCTTAAACGTTACACTGTATACGACTGACAAGTACGTTGTTTTTATCATGCTAATCTGACTACTTAAGTACATAACGATATTTTATACATAAAAATATGAATAAGGTATTTTCTTATTTTATACGACTAACAATTTTCCTGTTCCTTTTTTTGGTATTCGCGCAAGACAGTAAATAGCAACTATCCGCGTTCTTTGGTCATAAAAAATCTATTTCGGTTATAATAAGTTCATTGCAGTACACTTATCACACATCGATAGCGTCGTTGCAAATACGCCGTTCACACTTATTCCGTTGCGACTATATTTTCTTCCAAAGCAAGAATACGTTTCAATATCGTCCAAATATCGGCGAAGAAACAAATTTTCATGTAATTGAGAAGAAAATTTCAAAGTGAACGTCATCCGCGAGACTTAAAAGTTAGTTCACACTGAACATCACATTATATTCTTCATATGTCATTGACTAGGATTCTCTGTTAGCGATACTGCGTTTTTCCCCTCTTTTTGCATCTTATAATTTACATAGCAGCTCCATTAGACATTACGTCATTTTCTATTTTTTTGTCAATGTTATTGAACAACAATAAATCTTGTTCCTTTGGCTTCTTGTTACCCTCCATGTCAATGTAAGACTGTGGCCTCTCGTTGGGCGGTGTCTTCAAATTATTTTCATTGTCGCTGGTCACACTGGGATTTCTCAGTTTGATAGGACTTTCATAATGATTAACATTTGAATTAGCTGGCTGCTCATTAACGTATGGCGGCTTCAGTGGTTCTTCTGGGAAGGACGCTATTGGCTGTTGCCAAAGTGCGTGAAGTTTGTCAATATTATCACACTTTCTGACAGGTTCGGCCGAAGGTTTTCTCAGGTAGTTGACAGCATCCGTTTTCAGGATATTAATATTCCCATAACTCGTGTCGTCACTTCCTGAATCTGTGATCAATAATCATTTAGAAAAACTTTTTTTTTAATATTTTAGAAATATTTGTTACTACTTACTTGTAGGACTGTCAAGTGCATGCAGAGATGCAAAATACGCCTGATTGTGAACGGTTCTAGGATTAAGGTCAAGATACTCAACGCCATCCTCCAGCATCCTTTCCCAGTGGCAGGTGAGTTCCTTGAAAGATGGTCTCATTCCTGGTTCCTCGTGCCAGCATGAGATCATCAGTTTATACCTACATTAGAAATGCATTATTTTTTATTTTTCATATGTTTCAGGTCATAGGTCGATACTGAATAAGTATACCCACAGTTGGTAGGAACAATTGGCCGGCTTCTCCATCCTGTAACCAGCCTTTAGCAAGTTGTACAAATTGTGAACGTCCACTCCGGGATACGGCGATGCTCCTAATGTTACTAATTCCCATAGAAGTACCCCAAAGCTCCAAACGTCTGACTTGCTAGTGTAGACGTGATCCGCAAGGGATTCAGGCGCCATCCACTTTACCGGCACTGGAAGAAAAATCGATGAGTTCGTGGGAATTCATGACCGAGGACGCTCGTTAAAGTGAGTGTTGATCGCATGCTCGCGGTAAACTTCAGTCTCGCCACGTTACCTATAATTTATCATCGATCATTCGCAGAACGGCTTCTTTATAATCACGAGGGTAAACACGCATTTGGCTGATCGTTATCAAAATAATTTGATTCCACAAAATAATACTCTAAATACCGAATTAAGGTTAATACGTTAATTTTTTCTTCACAAATTTACCTCGTCCCTTGCTCCTCTTAAGGTAGGCGTCGTCCTCGTAGACGTCACGCGTTAATCCAAAATCGGAAATCTTGCAAACTTTTCCAGTTGCCAGAAGAACGTTCCTTGCCGCTAGATCTCGGTGTACCAACTGTACGATAAAGAAATTTTATAAATTACAAACAAATTGGCTATTACTACAGGACGATTTCATAAGGCTAATAAGTCATAAGTTTTGATTGTGTTTCGTGATAACAGCATGACGTGTACTTGAATCAGATCACGTAAACAATATCATGCAATTATAACGGATAACCTCGAATTGAATTGAGGACAGAAGTGATTTACCTTTATGTCTGCAAGATAGGCCATCCCTTTGCTTATTTGCCAGGCAAACGAGAGGATGTCACGTGGTGTTATTCCATAATTTGCCGAAATTTCGATGGCTTGAATTTCTTCGCGTATGTTGCAAGGCGACGCAGAGAGCAATGACGTCGAGCACGGTGTTCTGCCTTCCGACTCCAGATGGCGACTGCGTCTCAAATAATTTCTATTCACAGAAATAATATAAATTCAGTAACAACAAATGACAAAATCTTAAACTAAAATCTAGAATGCACCATTTTTTTTTATCAAAAAATATTTCTAAATTGCATCGATCAAGTATATACGTTCTTACTGCAATTTCTGTTATTGTGCGAAAATATGTACCGTTCCTTCCACCGAGAAAGGTCGTCAAGACTGAAAAATGTAATTACTAAGATTTCACAGATGGTCCAGAGGGTTATTGTCCTTTAAGGATGCATTCTGCGACGACAGAAGGAATGCACTGCACAATTGCACTGTATGACACGGGCTGAATTCTTTGGATATCACACGAGTGAAATAATATCTCCGAATTTACATGGATAGTGGTCTCACAGTCGACCAGTCTGAGATAAATCTTCGATCGCACCAGAGATAAATATTTTCTAATAATTTCGCACACGTGATAAAATGCAATAAAATCTATGAACTTAACAATTTAAAAGCAAATAAATAAAAGCTTCACCTTAACGATCCAAATTCAGCGAATTCAATAATAAGATAAATTGGTCCACCGGGCGACGTGCACGCGCCCAAAAGTCGTATGACATTGGGATGCTGGGCCTCCTTCAACAGTTGATACTCCGACAAGAGATCAGAAAGTTCCGAGGCGCAGGCACCTTCCTTAAGTGTTTTGACAGCGACCGTAGTAGGTCCAGACCAGTCGCCAATGTTTATTGCCTTGGCTCTTAAAACACGTCCAAATTCACCCTCGCCCAGGACCTGCTCTATCGTTAACCTTGATCTTGGAAATTCCCACTTAGGATCAGGCTGTAAAAAAAATTCCACATCAATAGGAGAAAAAGAATTTCAATTAAATACATAAATCTGTATTTGTTATATATATATATATATATTATCATTTGTCTTCTATTTCCGTTTACACCCCCATCCGTAATGGATGAATCTCGTGTCTGGCTTCGCACGGTTACCCACCACTAAAGGTATATAAGATCCTTGCATCCTTTCTGGCTTCTTTCGTACGATTCGAGAGTCCTCGTAAATTGGCGCCGCTAAGAAAATCTCTCCGGGGGGAGAAACCGAAGAGGGTGATTTATGCGCCAGCGGGTCGTTATCTTCCTGTTGCACGTGTACGTACATATGTGCACACGAAGTTTCGTGTAGGTAGACATACAGCTGTATATGTATAAGCATGCACGAGGCTATCCTTTGCAAAAGTGAAGATATACCGAGTGAACCATAAAGTAATAAATGTTAGAGTTCTCTATCTCCCGGAGTAACGAATGGACTGCAGCGCAGTGAAGAAACAAAGTGCTGATCCGATCCCAAGAAAGCGAACGTCTTCTTGCACGGTGCGGGAGGATCGAATGAACGAGCGAACTGCTCGCCTGAATAACAGCCTGGTATCATTCAGAGCTGACGTTAACACGAGATGCAGGAAATGCGACTGAATGAATTCTGAATTATTTATTTATTCATCTACCTACCCTCGGCGTGAAATGACAAATCAGAAGAGGAAAGCTCATGCGCGATGAAATATTTAACATACAAACGTCACTCTTGAAACTTTCCGATAAAGTTACCGCGAATGTGTTATAAGAAAGAAAGTACCATATACAGTATGAATATTTTTCAAATCTAATATTTAAAAAAATACTATGGTATAAAATTTAAATATTTTTATGTAAATAATAAATCTACGGATTCAACTTTTTATCCTCTGTAGGTACTAATAACTCTATTACACATGTAATAATGGTAATACAGGACCATTAAATTATTGTACTACAGTATACTCTATTTGCTATGGATTAGAACAAAGCTCAATGCGTCGTAGAGTATATATGTCTTTGGCTCAGTGCATTAGATATAACGTGCTTAGGTAAACTTTAACGTAGAGTAGTAACGATAAAGCGTAATGACACTCGTAGATGTATAAATGTCCCTTGTACCACCATGGGTAATAATATGTTTAACAAGTGAGATGATCAACTTACCGGACACGATTTTGGTAGAAGCAGGGTACGATTGACCGCCGTGAGAGAATCGGGACCAATCAGAAGTCCATCTCCACGATCCACGTAATCCGAGGGTAGAATTCCCAAGCCGTTTGTTCCACCCTCCGTTCTGTGTTTGCATTCACGACGCATCACCTTTGCCACCATTCTGAAACAGACAGCAGCGCCCCGTTAGCAGATCGGTTAACTAGGACACTTGAATAATGACGTATGACCATCATCACTTGCCAACGTCGGTAACGTAGTTTTCTAATTTATCTAATCAGTTAATACTTCGTAAACAGGAACGAAGAAAAAAGTACGTAATTTTAAATAGGTCGGATTACAAATTAAAATTCAATCGGTTTGATTGTCGTGGCCAAGAGAAGAAAGTTTCACGGGGTCGTTTTAAGAGTGTATTTCTTTATTCTTAGTTTGAAGAAAAAAAATAATGAAAATATCATCAGGAGGAAATACGAGAATGCTTCATCTGCTTTCTAACCAATTACAAAAGTTATGTGAAATGCATCTGAATACGAATTTCGAACTTTTTAATTCTATAATTGCCTCTCTTGGCTGTTTCGCATTGTTGAATCTGGCCAGGATTTTATTACTTTATTTTTTTTACTGGTATCTGATTTTCTTTTCTCTATGCTTCTCTCTCTCTCTCTCTCTCTCTCTCTCTCGTGCTTACTCCGCAAAGTATAGTCACTATATAAACTTGATCGATGACGTCGCGTGTCATCGACAACGATCCCGCTAAGCTGGAAGGTAGCTACGTGAATTGAGGTAGGTCGTCCATATCGATTTCGTGCTTACTCCGCAAAGTATATACTTTATTTTTTTTACTGGTATCTGATTTTCTTTTCTCTATGCTTCTCTCTCTCTCTCTCTCTCTCTCTCTCTCGTGCTTACTCCGCAAAGTATAGTCACTATATAAACTTGATCGATGACGTCGCGTGTCATCGACAACGATCCCGCTAAGCTGGAAGGTAGCTACGTGAATTGAGGTAGGTCGTCCATATCGATTACATCGTGGAATAAATCCCAAGAGTATTTAAAGTTTCTACATATACCTTTATGCACGTAGCTATATATATACATTTATACTCATTAAGCCGAGTTCACTCTCACGTAAGAAATTTCAAGACTTTCGTGTCAAAGATGCGATTAACTGACACGAGAAACGCTTCGAGTAAGTTGACCGTAAATTTCCCCGTGCAGTACACTGTCACATCTCGTATACAATATCCGATCGATGCTCTAGACTTCGTATCTATAGCCATTCTACGGCTGGCTACACGCGCTGCATGGAAACGTTTTATCGCCGGCCTATGCTTAATGGCTTTTGCATGCGGTAGTGCATCGCAATTTATGGTATATCCTTAAGGACTGTTTCTATATCGCCGCACGAAGCCACCGGTGCACGATGTTTTATTTCAAATTTCATTTATCGCCTCTTTGCTAACTTCTATTGTTCATTAGTAATTTTTTTTGTCAATATTATTATTTATTAACATTGCCTCTCGCACATAGAAATGCCCCGGAAACGACTGATATTATTTATCAGCCTAGGCGATCGGTACTTATCTTTGGGTTTACTTTGCAGCAGGTGCAGCTGTCGCGACGTGTAAACAATTCTAATACGACTATTTTCAATGTTAAACACGAGCACCTTCGACATGTTGTGTTAAGGGGTGCACTTGTGTAACTACGACAGGTACTTTAGCGGTGCATTGTAATGATAAATTATTATGTTACACAGGAACTACCTGCTTCGTTACAGTTCGTTAGAAACTGCCTTTAAATATATATATATATATATATATACGTATAGTAGCCTTAGTCGACTCACCTGTATCTCCACGTTACGAACGTGCTGACGATGACAATCAGAACGAAAAAACTACCAGCTATTACGCCGATCATACAAGTGGGACCGCCGTATAGTAGCCTTAGTCGACTCACCTACTTTAGCGGTGCATTGTAATGATAAATTATTATGTTACACAGGAACTACCTGCTTCGTTACAGTTCGTTAGAAACTGCCTTTAAATATATATATATATATATATATACGTATAGTAGCCTTAGTCGACTCACCTGTATCTCCACGTTACGAACGTGCTGACGATGACAATCAGAACGAAAAAACTACCAGCTATTACGCCGATCATACAAGTGGGACCGCAGGGGCTGCTGGTTACTGTAAGAAAAAAAGGCCATTAAGGACATTTAAACTCACTGGAAAGTGACGTAGGGCTTTCATGAAAGCACAGTAGAGACCTCTTGAAGTGAAACGTTTTAACGTATTTCTTATAGATTTTCATAATTCAATATCCGATCTCTCCATAAAAAAAAAATTTCAATTCGTTCGCATCAAAGACACATTGTGTAATTTTTCTTTTTAATAAAAACATATCTACATACCCATTTTAATTTTCATTATTCATTGGTATATATATCCACGAATCTAAGTGACTCTATATATACGTATATAATGTACCTACCCTTGTGTGGTCCTGGCAATAAATTATACTTCTCGCGATCCTTCCTCAATTTTGTATGTCCTTCTTTACCGACGCCGTTGCCACCGCCGCCTCCGCCGGTTCTTTTTCTTACCGATTCCGGGGCGCAGGTGCACCGTATCATATCGTCGCACGAACATATCCCCAGACCGCTTCGTATGCCGCGTCCATCTCTGTTCGTTTCACCGAAATGAACTTCCGCTGCAATACAGATTTAATGGACTTCAGACACGATCGAATCGCACCGTACCAACTTCCGGTATTACGCTACACCACTTCTCATTGGCCAGGGCCGTAACTTTACGACGGGACAATAACGTTGAGTGGGAGTTCACCTTTATTTTTCTTTTCTCTATCATCCTGACTCATAGTAAAATGACGTAGAAATTCTATGGAAGGTTCTGGACGTATCGGAGGATGAACGAAAAAAACCTTTTTTTTTTTGCAATATCAAAATTTACCAAAACTCACATTCGATTATGCAATCCTGAGGGCAGATACGAAAATCCAACCGTTCCAGATGATCGCACTCGTGATCCGGACAATAGGTCAGGTCTGGTGAGCACGTCTCATATCGTTCAGACATCGCAGGTGGGTTGTTGGCACTGTTTACTCTCCAAACACACTCGCTGGCATATTTGTCTTTTCTGAATAAATAATATTCACGTGTAAACACCGATTCGACTTGACACCATGGATTTCCAATATGTCCCGTTAATCGTTTACCTGAAAGTCCCACTTGCCAATCCGCAGCTACTCTCGCACTCGCGCCTGGATTCCGCGTTAGCGCACGATCGATTGATCGATTTATTCGAATTACAAGAATCATTGCTCAGCCGTGTCACATCGACAAGTGTCACCAATAGGTTTGTAGAGGATACAGCAACGTTTCGTAAGCTCCATTGAATTTTTAATCTAAAAATTAAAAATAATATGATCAATGTGCAATTTGTGTATACAGTACTGGGTGGCTCAAAAGTACCAACTGAAGTTAGCCCGTGCACTTGATTTATATGGTGAAGCCAATTTCAAGTACCTATACGTGGTTGCGTTTGAGCTGCCTAATACTATATATATATATATTTTTTTTCTATACCATATAGTATATATATATATATATTCGATTACTCACGTCACACTAGAATTAGATTCTCGCAGCATCGTCGTATTAGCAACATAAACAATCCCACCTTCTCTAGTGATATTGAAGGCATCCGATCCGCGCAAAGCAAACGATATCCCCGAATGTGGTTTACTGTTTGGCTGAGCCACTCGAGAGTACAGAGACGAGACACGGGCGATCTTGACGTTGGATGGGAAGTATATGGGTTTTCTTAATGGTACAGCCGTCGTCGACGTAGTCCTGTGATGCTGCGGTCCAACGAATGAGAGACTTATGTTTACCTGAAAGAAAGAAAAAAATTATATCAGGTATCGATTATCAATCAAATCCGTAAGGTTAGCATTGTTCGATCAAACGATCGGACAATTAGCCGGGATGCTGTTGTGATTTTCATTGGACGTAAAAGGTTTGTCTGTTGCAGGCAAACGCAAAAGAGAATATCATGGCGAATCCAATCGCCGAAGGGTCTGAGAGCTGAGGGATGAATAATGCAAGGCACTTATTCAGGGGTCGGCTGAACTTCGAGTAACGTAAATAACGTCAATGGAAACTTCTCGAGCGACTAAGTGACTCATAAAGGGATACCTTAGCCTGACAAATCGAACCTAAAGGCCCCGTTTCTATGTGGCGGTATGGATGAAACTTTACGCTCGACCTTTAAGTAGATAAGAGATTATACCTGTTCCTGAGGACGGGGTCGGGATTCAATTTGAGAACTGATTAACCGGATTCATTTGTAAGGGTTGTTTGCGTAAGGTCGTTATCGAAGATTTGACAGGTGAGGAGGGTTCGAGAAAAATTTGTTTACGTGGGAAATAATTTTTTATATAAATTATTCATTTTCCAATATTTTGCAATTTTTAACTTGAATCTTTAATTATTTATTGATTAAGTGCTATCTCGCGCAGTCTGTGCTTCCCTAATTTCCTGCTGACTAACGTAATCCATACTGTCTTTAAGGGTGTACCGCTATAGATATATATAACACGTATTATCCCATGGTGGGCGGCTGGCCAGATATTCCTGAGATTTATTCGCACTTGTGAATTCAATTTAACCACCTTGGTTCATCGCGTGGGCGAGATTACGTAGCGTCTCCATTAAAACGACTTCGTCGCTTTACTGATTATACGTATTTGGGAATGCGTCATCGAGGTGGAAGTAATCCTAAAAAGAGATAAATATGAGAAAAAAATTCGTCAAAAATAAAAATCTAGCCCTGTCAGTCATTAATGAAATAAGGTTAGTCAACGAATTTCAATATGCAACAATGAGATCGATGTTATTAACAAAAAAAAAATCTGTCAATTTTTTTTCCTTCATTTTTGAATCCAACGAGATTCTCATTGAGATAAATGAAATTCTCGCAGAAATCCAAAATCGAGCCGACAGCCGGTCTCGTGGACTCTTATCATACACTGACGAATTTCAAAGGCGAATCAGAAAAAGCAGCAATATCTCTACGTATATCGATTTCTAAACGTTTTCTTGGAGATTCACCAGATTTCCTACCGTCCCCTTTTTTCAATCTTCCTCTAATTCCATCAATATCCCGTGAGACTGTCAACGGCAAACTGCGCGAAGATAACTGCAAGAGAGATGCGAGCCCGTCCCTTCGTCTCGCGATACCCATCGTCCAAATGTTTGCCGAGGGTTGCTGTTCCCTTTAATAAAGGGGGATGATAATGCACGCGAGATGACCGGAAGATGCAGCCAAGCGGCAAGACGGAAGAAATATACGGAAAATTATACACGTATACAACGCGTTACAGAATTGAACGTAAACCAGATAACGAAAATTAAAATATAATTTTACACGGACGCTGCGTGGGCTTTATAATTATTTTAATTAACCCTTTCCACGTTTAGTGAGCATATAGAAATTTTCAAGTAAACCGACAAACTGTCGAAGTACCGGATATCGGAGATACCGACGTCCGGACTGCATGGTACGGGAACGCTATTCGATTAGGTTCTTCCTGCGCCATCGGTTAATCTTCTATTTCATTGCCACGTGGTTATTAAACAATTAGAAGTTGGCCGGCAGTAAGTTCTTGGGCGCGGCGTTGATTTCGCAGCGTTGCTAATTGCGAATTAATACTTAGTTTCGCTCGAAGGGTTGGCGTGCGTGGGTGTGCTGGTAGGCGGCCATTATAGTTTCCTGGTTGAATGGCTTTCAAATGTATTTCATTTTTCATTCTCATACCCAGGTACTCTGGGAATTTCTGCACAATTTTTATTATCTGGACCGATAACGAAATCGCTTACCGATTTCTCTCCGTAGCCGGGCAAAAGAGTTTCGTCCCTCAACTGTAGAATGACCTTGTACGGTGATTTAGGTAGCAGAGTGGTCCTGGCGTATATTCCTGACAATAAAATAAATATTTTTATTAATTTTTATTACCCTCAATCACGATTATACCGTGCGCTTGATCGATCCAGTAAATTGGCAACTGACTTGTTAAAATGACCGACGAGTCTGGAGCTTCCGGTTCCTTTGGATTGTCAACCTGAAGTATGTTGTAAGTGATATTCAAGGCGTTATGAACATCCTCCAATAATTCAACGGTATACTGATTACTCGTTATGGCATCAGCATCCGTCACCATAAGTTCATAATTGTCGAGTCTGTCACCCTGTAAGTGAAAAAAAATTTTTTATTCTCACAGGTAACAAGCCAGAGTTTACACCGCGCGTCTTTCAAAATTTCACGTCATTTCCGTATGGAGGAGTGACGTCATGCCGTCACAATAGTCGCGAAAGGAGCAAAGATAGTGTGAGAGTTTAAGAACAGAGGAAAGTTCTCTCTCTCTCTCTTCCTCTCAAAAGAAAAACCACACTAGGTATAACTAGGAGTCAGGATAAAGAGAGAAAGCAATAAAGCGTAAGAGAAACAAAATCCCAGGGTTTAATCAGGATGAGCCCCTGAAGCTTCTCTTCCTGTTCTCACTTTTCCTCTTCCCTCAGGACTTCCCTTTGTCATTCCCCCTCCCGCCACTCTCCCCTTCACATCATTCTCACCTCTCCAACTCTCTCACCTAAACAATGCTTTAATTATTCCGACAGTGCGTCCTTGATTAAGCCGCACTTTCGAACGCTTTCGATTGTCACCGTCGGTGGCGCTGCGATCGCGCTTCACCAATCAACGTCAAAAGTTATCTGCTGCTTGGTAGTATGTAACATTCCGTTTTGCATTACTCCGTAATGGAGGTTGCGAGGTACGTTATACACAGTACCGTGGAGAGAGTAACCGTGTGAATGCCGCTTTAAATTTGTCAGTTTGGAATACTCGTATCAAGAGACTCAAAATTGTGGACGGGTAACGTAGAGAATTATGATGCCGAAAATCTTGTCACTCACAGCCGTGAAATCTCCGAGACGAATCTCAACGTTATTTTCCGTCTGGATCATCGGTGGATTGTCATCCTGGTCCAGAATATCGATGCTCAGCTTCCTCTCCACAACGTATTGAATCCCAGTCTCTCCGTCCCACGCTACGCAACGGACCTTAACGTCCGCACGTGGTCCAGGACCTCCTGGTAGATGCTGACTGTCCCGGTCGAGTGAGGCATTCGAGTAGATAACATCATCTATCGTATGAAAGTATTCCGTACCTGGAGACAAACAATGAATCTGGGGTTGATAAATAATTTTGGAAAATTTTTAAAAAATTTTTCAACCCAACTCACCGTTCAACAGTTCGTGCACACTTATGTTGTAGTGCGAGCAGATACTATTGTAAACCGTGGGGCGTAACCTGCCCAGTAACGTAATAGGCTGATTCTCGTATATTCTGTATTTCGATACGTTCCAGAAACACATGTCCTGGAAAATAATACAAGATCATATTAAACTATGTCGAAATCCGTGAACAAAAATTGAATTTTATGCTCAGACTACGAGCATCCTTTCGCGTATGGGCACCCACGTATGAATATAATTTACAAACTTTGCACTAATGAATTCCGCCAATCAAGAGTTAATTAGACTCTCATTACCTGCACGTAGGCACTGCAATTGATCTTCTGTCCATTCGTCGGCACGGGATGTAGGTTAATTTCAAGAACAGCTTCGCCATTTCCTTGCTCCTTCGCCTGAACGATAATTGCACTCGGTGCGTCTGACCAAAGGAATAACAAAGTAATACTTTACATCGAGTAGTCACCAAGAACAGAGTAAAATACAGAAAACAAGAGAAAAGCGTAAAAAAAAGGAAATTGCAGTAATACGTCGATACATCGATAACAATATATAAGAAAAAATTTTTAAAAACATATTTATCTCAGTTCAATAAATTTTCCACTTATAGTTATAGTTGCGGATTATAACTATATATATATTACGTATGTTCATAGTCGCTGTAGCTACTTTCAAATTGATACCCTAATCGGCTCTCCATTGTTTAATAAATATTGTCAATGCTAATTGCCAGTAGCCCAGTATCGTTGCCCTATTACGTTGAAAGGTACAAATAACATTTATGGAACGTACAGCTTCTCAATTGCCATAGTAGTATGCGACAATGGGCCAAACAAGAGCCACAGACGCGACCATGCGACCCTACAGTCTGAAACTCGCAACAGCCTTATAAATAAACATGGCCGATTGATCAGCGACGATTCGATTCCGTCGTGGCTACTATTACCCACGTACAAATTGTTACCTCCTTTGTGCTGCAGTCGAGAGAAAAACGCGAGTGGCACTTCTTATGCACTTTGTACTTAATGTCATTTAAATATTCCTTTAAGCCGTCATTTTACACAAATACAATTCCATTATCACGCGCGGCTTAATACACGCAACTTCATTCGTATCGCAGCCGACTGGAATCAAGTAGCTTTCGAGAGGCTTTTATCTCTACAAGCCTTTAGCCTTTAACGATCCACGTTTCTTATATACTATACGTGTGGTATATATATATATAATTTCTTTATAAATTTTTAAATAAAATACTATTGAAAATTTTTTATTTAAAATACAGCTGGTCGATAATCAAAATATATTTAGCGTTTAGTTCAGACTCACCTGATTTCGGTAATGTGTGCAGTACGACAATTCCACTTTTGGCATCGATACTTGCAAACTTTTCCCCTGCTGGTTCTATGTGATAGGTCACCGACGTTGGAGCTCTCGAATTTTCGCGCAATGTTCTCAGGTTGACAAGACTGAGGTTCAGCTTAGGTGGGACTCCGTCGCGAGTCAGATAAGGTATCCTCAATGTCAGATCCGATTGTGGAAAGTAAAGGGCTGTAAATGAAATTGACGTATGACGTTAGTTGATGTCAAAATATGCCGGGGGAAGCTTTTTGGCCAATGAAAAAGGTCAGTATCGATTTTCAATCGAAATTCATATCTCCCAATGACATTTGCTATCTTTATCGTGACTGATATCTCGATATATTTTATAAACCGACTAGACCCTCGAAATGGCACACATTTTTTTTTTGATACCTAGGGGACACGTTACTGTCATATATGTAGGTAGAGTACATCAAGTATGCAATATGTTTCGTGTATACATATCGTAAAGCTCGTAACTTACAGGTTTAATATATATATAGGTAGCAAGTATATAGTCGAATTTTTTGTTTTCAAATTTTAATAGGTCGTCCTATTTGTATTATCTTAATGACGGGGAGGGTAGTTTTGATAAGTAATTTGATAACAGCCTACCCTGACGACTCTGTCAAAGTGACAATTAGTACTTGGCGTGGGTTTATAGTAAAGATTCCCTTTATTAGGTATCATCTTCAAAGTTTTCCAAAAATAATGATAATGCATTCAAACAAAATTCTATACCGTAGACACCACGTGAAAGTTATTATCGTCGCGTGGGAAGATGATTAATGATAAGGCACTGATGATAATGCGGCATGTTGGTGTAAATTGCGTGCCAGAGTTCACATTATTTCACCGAAAATTTCCCTTTTCCGAAAGCCGTTTCCACCCCTCAAGCTCAAAGAAAGTTTACCCACTATCTTTAGGGGTTGTATCATTATTGCTATACCGCCTTCGTATTTACCTGACTGTTCATTTTCTACGCGTGATAGCGCGCTGAATTTGCAAAGGTTTTGACCTTTGCATTTTTTTTTTTTTTTTTTAGAAATTCATACCCCCCCTTTCAGTCTTATGTTATACCTAACAAAAAACCTTAAAGAATGGTGCTGATAATTAGACATTTTTTTTTATTTCCTAAAGTGATCGTTATACCCATTCAAATTTAAAGGATTTACCGTCCAGAAGGTCAAAATACTTAAACGCTTATCAAACGTATTTTTATTTTATTTTTTTTTTCCAAATGCGATAAAACACCGATTAAGTATCGTGATAGCGTTGCTTTACTATTTTTGGAATGAGTGCGTGCGAACAAAGTGCTCGAGCACCTAACCCAGCTAAAATCCTGTAAAAATCAAGGTCAAGTAAAATTCTCAAAAACTGCCCCTAACCTATCCGAACACTGTGGAGTGGATTTATATTTCGTTTTTATATTTTCCAGTACTTTTTATGTAAATTGAATTTTTTGAAATTCACTTTTCAATTCGGGACCTTGAAAATTTCACGGTACGTCTACGTCACTGACCGAACCCATTGCGAAGAAGTATATACATACATGCGTATGCGTATAAAGCTGAACCTCGCAAACGAGAAATAAGGTTCAATGCCAGGACAACGTTCCGGTTGGCGTGTGGCTACGTGTAACAAAGTATAACGAACTAACACGTGTCAAGGTGAGCATTTAATCGATATTTACAAGGCAGTTAATTTTAATCAAAGATCGCGTGTCGACTTTGGTGAAAACATTTATGGCCGTTTTCACGTGAATTTTATTTTCATACGCGGAAAATACCGGACACTTGCCGCGACCCAAGAACGACGTTGGTTCAGGTGAAACTACGTCAATGAAAACATTCCGATAAATATATTACACTTAACCCCGCTGTAATTTATTTTTATACGTTTGCGCTAAATTAAATTCAAATTTTCGCGCCAAATACGAATTTCCATCAAAGTCTTGGATTTTTGTATTTTACTTCGTTAATACCCTCAGTGAAATACGGTTGGGTTACGTGAGTGCTTGGAGTTCGATTACGAATTTTAAGACACCCGTTATTGCAAATATCCCTGTATTTTCGTATTAAGATTAAGCGACTTTTGTAATTAGTTTTAATGCACGCCAAGAACGTGACTCGGTGCCCAGCACGCCACACTGACGGTACGTTGTATTTGAACACCGTAAATCACGTTTCTAATAATATAAATGTACCGTGGGTTAGCGCCACCCCCCCCCCTGGCACACGTAGTACAAAAGTAATATCTAAATTAATAAAGAGCCCAACTTTTTAAAGTCATTCTACCTAAAATAGAGGGTTTTCAAAATTAAAAAAAAATCCATTACCAACAGTTTGCCGTAACATCAGAATTACTGTGACAGAAATAAAAAAGTCTAACCTCAAATCCGTCACGTGTTTATGCTAAAAAACATTATTAACGATTCCCATATGAATATAAATAGTGATAAAATACCAGGAAAATTATTATCCAATACAGTATACACCAAATTTCTATACGTACACAGGCACCGAGGCGAAAAATCTATATTCGAACCTTCCAGCCACCTATAGTCTAATACATTATACCAACTTTTTGTCCACCTCAAGCAAACGCACTTTGTATGCGTTCCCCGAGCGTCTACAGGGGTTGGTCTTAAAAAGGGTGGCCGGCGGTGATAGCAGCAGCGGCAGGACACGCAAAAGCCAAGTTAACCCGAGGGTGCTGAACTATGCGACCATCAGTGGAACGTACACGATTCTACGTTATACATATATAGATATACCGCATGCCTACAACTGCATATAGATATGCACTTCAAACACGTGTGGTTGCAGTTTGTTACTAGTGCGATGCACGGGATGTGCACTGAACGCAATCGACCAGCAGACCTTAGTTAGTTACTGTATCCAGAATTCTTTGCGTGTCGAGCACTGCTATTTACATATTCAACTGCCGCGCAGAAATCTTTGATACGAACTGTACTTGGATGATTCTTCTTCCTTCATGATATATGAATGTGTAATTAGTTATGTTTTTTTAATTATAATTTCTTAACCTACCAATTGCGTAATAACCATTGTCTGGGAATATAATTAGAGTAGACAAGGACGAGTGGCGGGATTTTTGAAAATGTCACTAGGACCCAGGAAACTTTTTTTTTTTCTTTCATCTGGCACGCTCCTGGTCTGGCGCTTTTATACATAAGTTCATACTCTCCCTCAGGAACCAGAAATTTTTCGGTAACGCGTCCCGGGGGCTTTTACGTCCCAATAATTTTGACTCGTTGTATTTTCGTAACCGCTCGGCTGTCCAGAGTTCTCGGAGAAAAGTAAAAATAAAGTGAGATCGTGGTGACACGGGGAAAGTAGTCGATACCGAAATCGGTTTTTCCATCTTTTTTTTATCTCCTAACAACCCTTGCTAACCCCACTTTATTAGGGTAGTAAAGTGTTAATCCTTATAGGACTCTCGGAGATAGATCTTTCCTTAGCTGAACGTCCCGGTTACGTCACTGAACATCCCTCTTATGCGACACGTAGGTATATCCTGTACCAATTATCAGCTTTGTCAAAATTGTAAAAAAAAAATTTTTTTTATTATCTGTTATCTATAAAATATCTACTTCCGGCTCTGAGCGAATTCTAGCTTCCGGAAAAGGTATATTCTTTTTTGATCCTCTCGTCGCCTCTTTACTCGATTTTTAAATTCAAATTTTTCGAATTCTCGCGGGCTTGGCTTTTGCCCGTGAAACGCAGCCGCTCTTTGGTAAAAGAAACGGATTAAGATGGCTTACGGTAATGCTCCTATCTACGAGTCCCAATCAAGTCTCGGCTACTGTGAAAAGCAAGTGACAAGAGCTCTGCTAAGAGTATCAACCTATTTATAACACCCTGTAGTAATATATGTCGGTCCAACGAGTCCTACATCCCCTGTTTGTTATACCCGCGGCTAAGTAACACGATATTGTCGGAGTATTTTCGTGAGGCTTTCCTTCTTAACGTCGGCTTCAAGGAATCCGGGAAAATCAGGCTTTTCGACTTTTCCGTCATGGACCAAAGTTCATCTCTTTTATCTGCATAACGATCCGACAAAACGTATTAGTGTCTGCCCCGAGAACGCTCGGGTCGTAGATACAACTTTTTACTGTATCCTTCGACAAATTCAAAGAGCGATGGAAATTTTGGTCGATGGTTCAAAATTTCTTTGGATCTCTCATCCGTCTTCTAAACGAGGGACTGAAAATCTTGTCAATTTATCTCATTTTTTCTTTCCATTCCCAAAATATGTCATTAAGGACAAATCTTTGTTGAAGCTTTCTTTAGACGTTTTATGCTCAGCCGTTTTTCGTCGTCAATTTTGTTTTTTCTATTCCTACATACAAAACCAGACCCGGTGCACTCGGCAAGATTAGACTCAAGACAACGCGAGAATCTCTAATGGCCACGGAGACCCATGAGATCGTTATACCTGGAAACCCTATTACACATCAAGTTACAATTCCCGAAAACATAGACACCCGTGAATACGATACGCGCAGCCTTACAAAAGTCCCCATACGACGAAAACCTTTCATTTCACCCCGGTTCAAGGATCCCCATGGACTTCGCATTCAACTTTTTTATGCCCGGGGCTGTATAACACTATCCACCATATCACCCTCGAACATAACGAAAACCGAAGGAACAATGAAGGCAGTATCCATGTAATTGAATTATTCAACACTTTTCAAAATACCTCGGCTAACCCCATAATCGTGACAATTGAAAAAAAAACATCACTCAACCTCGATCCTCTGTCAAAGACAAACGCACGCAACAGACCAATTTACCAGCTGATAGTAAAATCTATGGGAAGTGAAGTGCGCACAGATTTTGGAATGGATGGTACGTCCCTGTTTAAAAGTCTAGCAGCAGGCACAGTAGGTACCTAAAGGCACGGAACGAGCCTGCAATGAGCATAAATAGCGTGTAAGAGGGAATAGGTAAGGTACTATTGTTTAAGGTCTCCAAGGTACATAGTAGGTACAGTCACCGTGGCAAATAGTGGGACGAAGTTTCAATTATTCTTTTGGTGTCTGCCGCCTGAATCCTATTGGGAGATACATTAGTCTTGCGAGGTGCAGAAGGCATGCGCCGTCAAGAACATAAATTACAGATTGTGACACCTGCATGCATTCGCCCCATGTAAATAACAAG